ACCAATTTCTAATTAATGGATTTCCCATTTATGTCTTTGTAAATTTTCTTTTGGCTTTATTAAGGATTTATTATTTACTTATGTAAAATGTTTTTATACTAAGTCAGTGGTTCTCAACCTTCTGGCCCTTTAAATACAGTTCCTCATGTTGTGACCCAACCATAAAATTATTTTCGTTGCTACTTCATAACTGTAATGTTGCTCCTGTTATGAATCGTAATGTAAATATCTGATATGCAGGATGGTCTTAGGCGACCCCTGTGAAAGGGTCGTTCGACCGCCAAAGGGGTCGTGACCCACAGGTTGAGAACCACTGTACTAAGTATATGAATACATTGTCTGTCATATATGTTAAAAATACTCTAAGTCAGTGGTCCTCAACCTTGGCTGCACATTAGAATCACCTGGGAATCTTTTTAAAATCCTGATTTCTGAGCCTCATCCTCCGGAAATTCTGTTTCTTTGTTACTAAGGTTGTGGGCCTCACCCTATAACAAAGAAACAGAATTTCTGGAGGATGAGGCCCAGAAATCAGGATTTTAAAAAGATCCCAGGTGATTCCAATGTGCAGCCAAGGTTGAGAACCACTGATCTAGAAGCAAGACCTGAAAGAGCAAATATAGTAGAAGGATTGTCTGACAAGAGAATTGAGAGTGCTGGTAAATAAGAGGAGGGATAGGATTTTGCATTTCGTTCTAATATGAGCCCTTGTTCATTTCTGTATCTTGTTCATTTCTGTATCTCCAGTGTCTGGAGCAGTCATCCTTAACCTTATCTGTGGATTAGAATCAACTGGAGAGCTTCTGAAATTCCTGATGCCTAAAATGCACTGTAAACCAATTAAATTGGAATCTCTGTGTGGGTACCAGGCACAGTATTTCTTAAAGGTCCCTGGCCCTGGCCAGTGTGGCTCAGTTCTTTGAGCATCATCCCATGTACCCACTGAGAGGTCCACCATTTGCTTTCCAGTCAGGGCACATGCCAGGGTTGTGGGCTCCAGTAGGGGACGTGTAGGAGGCAGCTGATTCATGTTTCTCTCTCTCTCCCTCTCCTTTTCTCTATCACTCAAAAAATCAATAAAACTTATTAAAAAATAATAAAATTATTAAAATTATTAAAAATTATTAAAAAAATAATAAAAAATAAAGGTCTCTGAATGATTCCTGTATATACTTCCAAGGAAGAGAATGACTGGTCTAGAACAATAGCATAAAGTAGAAACCTAGTAAATTTAGGTTTACTCAATAAATGAGAGAATGGAATTCAGGTTAGATTAGAGAGGCCCTAAAACTAGAAATGGCTGAGATTGAGAAAGAGGTAGAGACTGAAGTCTCTGTGAACTTGAAGTGTAGGTTTGAGATTTGGGTACTTGTATTGTTTTCCAAGACAGAGATTTATGAGTTTATTATTTTGGAATTGGCGCAGTTTTAAGTGATATGATTTAATTCAATTTTGGCGAAGGGATTTTTGCATGGGGTTGAAGCTTGCTACAGTAGTGGCGTTAAAGATCCGAAGCCAGGGTGTTGGAAGGTTTGTGAAGATAATTGGTAAAGTTGAACAGGGTGGAGGAGGGGAAGAGGGAAGGAAGTTAATGGCTCTCAGATTGGACATTGATCTCAACTGAACCGGTTCTGGCTTGCACTTCTTCCTGTTAATTTCATGATCCTAAATTCATGTTTTTCAGCAAGTCCCTCAGACCCTCTGAATATGAGATCATATTTGCTTCCCTGGGACTAGGTCCACCTTACCTTACCCTAAAACACACGCACTGAAGTACTATTGTGAATTAGCTTGTTCATTTTCCTGTGTTCGAGAGACTATCAGGTGAAGGCGCTGAAGACTGGGAATACAAAGAGTCGTGAAATGTGGAAAATGTCGTCAAAATTCACTTTGTTTACTAACATTTTTGTTTGAGGCTATTCTGATCAGGGCTTCTATTGAGCAAAAATGGCAATAGAAAAATCCATAAAACTCCTTCCACCCCAAATACCATAAGGGCTTAGGAGAGAAACAGAGGCCAATGAAATGGCATTTCTTTTTTTATTTGAATAAGACATTTATTGCTCATTTATTTTATCACAGCCCACAACCTCAATATTGGATTATGAGTCACACTGAACTCTGATGGCAATTAGGTAATGAGGGTGGGTTGGGCTCCATGAAAGAGTTTATGGACACCCTCCCCGCTGACCAACAGCCAAGTCCTTTTCCAAGGAATACTTGGGTCAAGTAAGGTCAGGTGGTAAAGAGGCTTGTCACTCATTGTTTCTTTTA